TTTACAACACTGCCAGTGCAGTATCGCCAAATAATCTGTTGCATTTAGGGGAGCGTCATGGACCGGGCTGCCCAGACATGAAGGGAGGCTGGAGATTTGTTTGCCAGTGTCGTTTTCATGTGCTTTGACCGTAATGGTTCAATAATGTGATCTGTGTTGCAAAGCGGCGTTAACAAAGCTGCCGAGTGGAACCTAGGCTTCCGTGCAGCATGTTTGAAGAGCGTTCTTCACGGCTCGCGTGCTGCTCTCGTCACGTTCCTCATCTTTCGCTCGTGTCGTCCGCCACAACACCGCCTCCATTGCAGAGGACAAGGACCGGCGGCGGCGGAGTCGGTCGCGGGGCCGCCGCAGCCGCTCGCGTGACAAGCGATCTGCACGCTCCGGGGAAAATCGGCGTTCACGCAGCCGCGACCGCGACCGCCGGCGCAGCGGTGACGACCGCTGCTCTTTCACATAGACTGACTCGAAATAGAAAGATCATTCAGATGAACAAGACTGATTGAGACAAGATGAAACCAAATCTTGCATTTACCTGGAGAAGATTGAGAACAATCATAAGTTTCTCGGTTTTTGTTTGCCCCCCCAAAATGTTGGTGCAGGCAATGTGTTCATTTAGAACTTTTTAATGGCTAACTCGAAATGGATAAAATAAACAAAAATCTGAAAATCATAATCTTAGGTTGTGTGACCTGTAACGTTTCTGAAAATAAATACGCGTTTTGGTTTTATTCACTAAAAGTTTGTTTCAGGAGGTGCTGATCCCAATTATAAAATCTGAATTTGTTTGGTTAATTTATAAAAAAAAGTTTGCTAAATTCAAGATAATTTTCAAGGTCACTATCGGTGACTCGTACATACGGGCGTGTTTTAAGTCTAATATAAGTGTGTATGTTTAAATTATTTGCGCCATACATAGCCAACCATGCTAATTGGAGGTATGGGGGGGGAAGGACAACAAACGGAGCACAAAAAGCAGTTTTAGATTTAAAAGTGCATGGCTCCAGTGGCTTTATAATATCGGAAGGAAGAGCGTTCCAGACGGCCACAGAAGCGCATCTGAAAACGCGCGATACAGTGACCGTCTCTGTTCGATGGCTCGCCAAAAGTCTGATTTGGGTAATGTGTTTCTAGCTAGAACATCCCCTCGTGCAGTACTCATCTTAATAGGTGCTAACGAACACACGCAGCCTGTACACTAAACAGGGGAACGTGTGTGTGATTGTGTGCGTGCACGTCCTGCAGGAGCAAGGACCGGCGGAGCAGCCGCAATGATGACAAGAAGCGCTCGCGTAGCCGTGACCGCAAGCGGCGCTCGCGTAGCCGGGAACGGTCATCGCGCGACGTCGACTTGCGCAGCAAGGACAAGGATCGCGAGCACAGCAGCAGGGAAAAAGATCACGAGCGCAGCAGGGACAAGGAGCGCAGCAGCAAGGACAAGGAGCGCAGCAGCAGGGACAAGGAGCGCAGCAGCAGGGACAAGGAGCGCAGCAGCAGGGACAAGGAGCGCAGCAGCAGGGACAAGGAGCGCAGCAGGGACAAGGAGCGCAGCAGAGGAGAAGATCACGGGAGCAAGGACAAGGATCGTGATCGCAGCAGCAGGGAGGAGGAACACGAGCAACAGTAGGGAGCGAGGCAGTGGCAGCGAGAGGGGCAAGGATGGCAGCAGTTAAGGAGCACAGTAGTAAGGAGGGCAGTGTCAAGGAGTGAGAGTGCCAGCATGAAGGAGGCGGTGTCGGGCAGCAGCATCAAAGAGGAGAGAGCAAAGAGAGCGAGCCGGAGCAACAGAAGGGGCGGAGAACCTGCTGACAGAGAACCCACGGAGAAAGAAAAGGAGGAGAGCTCCAAGGATAAAGGTGCTTTTACATTCGCTTATCATAAGTGGCATGAATGCCGGGTGCCAAACTTGGTTATAGGTGAATAGTGCCTGGTACTTGGTCTACCCCTTGTCATCCCTGCCAGTGGAGATGAGCACTCCCATATTGCTGAATGAGGGAGGCAATGAGACTGGACTACACCTTCAGAATTATATTATGGAGACAGAAGCACTCATTTGTTGTAAATTACACTCCTTGCTCTTAATAAGCATATGGAACCAATTATCAGGAAATTCCTAATTCCCTTATTGGTGGCCGTAACCCCCATGGAAAGTTTACTGTTGACTTCCAACAAAGTGATATTAATTTGAATCACCTCATATGGGTGATGGGCTCAATTGAACAACCCCCATTCGTTATTTGAGCTCACAAGTTTCCACTTCTGCATCGCCAAATAGTTATTGTATACACTCGTGGACTATGTTATGGTGATACTTGGTAATACTCTTCAGACGCGTGGACAACGTGGTAAGGCACACGTATTTATTTGCACAATGTCTTACAGCACTGGAGGGATGTATCGGCCCCCTCACCCGTACAACTGGGAATTCACCCCTAGCTAGCCTTCCTAGCCGAGTCCTCCGCTAACGGGCTAGGGGAGGCTATCTGGCCCGACACTGGTTAGTCGGGCTACGGTACCCGGAATCCCAGAGATCTAACTCTGGTTCCGGGACCACGCCACTGGCTCCAGCCTGCGCTGCCCTTACAAGGGCGGCGTCCCAGGGGGAGTCCAGGGCCTATCTGGCCGGTCTTCTGTCTTCCCTTAACTACCCTAAGACTGAGCCCCGAGCTCTCTGGCTCATCCCTTTTATACCCCCCTAGAGGATCGAAACCCCCTCACGCCGTCCAGTGCGGACGTCGTTGCGGGCACCACCCCGTGTGCTCACGGAGTCCCCGCCCACTGTGTTTGTTATCCGTTAGCCCCTATGCAAACAGCCCCACACAAACAGCCCCTCTGTAACAGCCCTACATCACCCCCCCCTGTACAGCTCGCAGCCGTCCCGGCTGCAACAACTTTCAATAAAGGTTATTTAACCCCTGGATCCCCGCGTGTGCCTTAAAAAAAACGTTTTTAACGCTAACATGAAGGAACCAACAGTAACAACGACAACAACAACAACAATGACAACAACAAAACCCACAACCCCGAAGGGAACAATCCGACGCACCCCCCCTGAATAAATACGAATACCGTAAGAGCGACGTATATATACAGGTTTTGCAGGAACTCCCAGCACGCATGCAACACAACAAGAAAAATGTGGTAGGAGTTCCCCACCGACGCAACACCCCGCAACCGTACGTAAGGGAGAAGAAGAAAAAAAATGTTCGTCCAATGCATTATAAGAGTCTGCGCATTTTTGCGCGCGTCCTTGCTGCAGGCCCGTCACACGGGGCAATCCCGGGTGGCGAACCCGCCGGTGGCGGTTGTTCGCCTTGTATAGAGTCCGCGTCTGACGTCGCGAGACCCTCGGCGTCCCTCGCAGCAGTAGGTGGGTGCGAGCTCGTCAGTCCCGGTGCACCTGTGGGTGGGACAGCCGGCGACACGTCAGGCGAGGGCAGTGAGGACGGACCACCTGAGTCGGCCGACCCCCCACATGTTTGGCCATGCGTGTGTGGAGCGGGGCCTCGCACCGCAACGAATGGTTTTAGCCTCGAGGGGTGCACAAACCACCGGCGCTTCCCCCATTTGATGCGAACACACTGAGGCCGCAGAACCTCGACCACCTCCACGGGCCCCCTCCACGGCCGCGCCAGTTTAGGGGATGTTGCGAGCGGTACCTGGGGGCAGTGCAGCCATGCTCTGTCCCCCGGCTTCCACTGCAGCACGTGCGCGCGACCCAGTCTAAGGCGCTCGTTAGCTTTTTGACGCTGCTCCGAATTTAACATGGCAGCATCCCGTGCCTCCGTCAATTTTTCAAGGTTAAATTTGACATGGTCAATTAATTTAGTTTTTCCTAGTGGTGTGGGGATCTGCAGCTGCGCCCGAATGGGTGGGTCAGGGTCGCGTCCGTACATGAGGAAGAATGGCGAAAATCCCGTTGCAGCATGGGGGGCCAATCGGTATGCTGCCAAGACCCCTTGGATTTTCAAGTCCCAATCCGTCTGTGAGTCCGAAACCTGCTGTGATAACATAGACGAGATGGTGCGATGCAGACGCTCGACCATCCCGTCAGTTTGCGGGTGATAGGGGGAAGTACGAATCTTTTTCGTTCCCAGGAGCTCACAAACCTGCTGGAGGAGTTTCCCGGAAAAATTTCTACCCTGGTCGGTCAGCAGCCGTTCCGGGGCACCTTTGTCCATGACATAGCCTTGGACAAAGGCGTCGACGATGGCTGCTGCCGACTGATTGGCCAGGGGCCAGGCCATAGGCCAGCGCGTAAAATACTCGACCCCGGTTAACAAGTATCTGTTTCCCCTAGGGGTGGCGGGGAATGGGCCCAGAATATCCAGCGCGACCAGTTCGTTTACTCTGGAGACCCTGATAGACTGCAAGGGCGGGTTAGATTCTCGCGCTGGTGGTTTCCGCTGTGCACACCTCGGGCATGAAGCCAACAGATCAGGGACATCCCTTGTCATTCCTTGCCAAAAGAAATCACGTTGGAGCAAGGCGAGGGTCTTTTGGGTACCCAGGTGGAGGAGGCGCTCATGAGCAGCCCACACCACCCTACCCCGTAAGCCCGAAGGGACCACCAGCCGGTGTCGGTGGGATTTCCCGTCCCAGTGCAACAGCAACCCCGCGTGTATTTCCCATGCGTCGGCATCACCCGATCCCCGCCCTGCCTCCCCGGCGCGACGACGCAACGCGAGGAGGGAGGTATCCTCCATCTGGAGGCGCCCCCATTCCTGGATGTGCAAACCCAACAGGGAATCTTTCCCTTGTTGTTCAATGGAACTCAGAACAACTGTCCCGCCGTCGGCGGCAGCCGCAAGGGCCGGAACCGACCCGTCCCCTGCTGGTTTGCAACGTCCCGACCCCAGGAGGCACGCGCATTCCGAGGTGGTTGGCATACGCGACAGAGCGTCCGCGTTGGTGTGGCGGACGCCCTTACGGTATGTGGTGGCAAAATTAAAATCCTGGAGGATCTCCAACCAACGGGACAATTGTCCCGATGGCTGTTGAACTCGCAGGGCGTACTGCAGTGCCGCATGATCTGTGCGGACGGTGAAACGCCGACCGTACAGATATGGGCGATACTGTTGGATGAAATAGACAATTGCCAACAGTTCTCTGCGGGTAACACAATATCTTTGCTCTGCTTGAGACAACACCCGACTGCCGTACGCAACCACCCGTTCGACGCCGTCAACCACCTGGGAAAGCACGCCCCCAATACCCGTGTTGCTCGCATCGGTGTCGAGCAGGAACGGCTTTGAAAAATCAGGGTAGATCAAGGGAGGAGCTTTTACCAAGGCGTCCCGAAGGGAGCAAAAAGCAGCCTCCTCCTCTTGACCCCAGTGGAACCGGACCCCCTTAGATGTTAATGCGTGTAGGGGTTTTGCAATTGTTGCAAAGTCGGCGACGAACCGTCTGTAATATGACGCGAAGCCGACGAAACTCCTAACCTCTCCCACCGTGGTGGGAGTTGGCCAGGAGCTGACACACTGCGTTTTGGCGGGATCGGTAGCAATACCCGAGCGCCCTACGATGTGCCCCAAATAACGCACGGAATCGCGTAACAAATTACACTTTTGGGGTTTGAACTTCAAATTAGCAGCCCGCATCTTTAGGAAAACCGCCCGCAACCTCTGGAGATGTTCGTCAAAAGTTTTAGCGAAGACAATAACATCATCCAAATAAATCAGGCACGACTCCCATTGCAATCCAGCCAAAACCAATTCCATCAAACGTTGGAAGGTTGCCGGCGCTGAGTGTAAGCCCATCGGCAACCGGTTGAATTGGAACAGGCCGTGCGGTGTACGGAAAGCAGTTTTAGGTTTCGATTCATCATCCAGAGGAAGCTGCCAGAATCCCGAAAGTAAATCCAGCGTGGAGAAGAATCGCGCTCCCGCCAAGGCGTCCAGCGATTCGTCCATCCGTGGGAGCGGGTATGCGTCGGCAACCGAAATTTTGTTAAGGCGCCGAAAATCAACGCAAAACCGCAACGAGCCGTCCTGCTTTTTAACCAGGACGATCGGCGCTCCCCAAGGGCTGGTAGAGGGAGAAATAATGTCGGCGGCTAACATGTCATCAACAGCCAATTTGACATGGTCCTTTTCGGCGGGACTCAACCGAAACGGATTTTGGCGAATTGGCGCGCTGTCACCCGTGTCAATATGGTGACGCAGCAGATGAGTACAACCCAAATCGTATTTATTCCGACTGAAAACGTCGGAAAATTCCTGCAGTAGCGATCTAAGCTGTTGGCGCTCTGAATTTGACAGGTCCGTCGATCCCGCACAAAGCGCGTCGAGCCACCCGTCATCGCTGTCCGAATGTGGGTGCAGTCGGGTGTCGGTGCCGACGTGATTCGCAACCGGTTCCTCGCAGGGCATTGGTGTCGCGTGCGCAAGCACCGTCCCTCGAGGAACCACAACAGGTTGCGATCCCACATTGAGGACCGCGATGAAAGGGTCCCCATCTCCCCTCACAACGGTCAGGGCCGGGATCAACTGCGGTCCACTAACCCCGGCCCTAGACGGTCCCAACAAGATCCCGTGGGCCCCCATACCCTCTGCGAAGGGCCGACGAAGTTTTAGCGGTACTAACATCTGAGCCCCCGGCGGCACACGAACGGTTTCAACGACGGACGCTGGTATGGTTACGAACGCCGTCCGAATCACCGAAGGGGAGGGTAAAAACGCCATGCGCCGTCCCGACGGGAGCTCAATACATCCCTGGTCTATCAAAATACGGATCGGCATTTTTCCCAAGAAGTCTGTCCCCAGCAGGCACGGAACCGCCAGTGAGGAGGAGACAAAAATCGGGCCTGATAATTTGATATCCCCAATACAAATTTGCGCTCGAATTTGTCCAATAATACCAAGGGAGCCCCCATTCGCCGCATAGAATGGGACATTAACTGGTAGTAAGGGACGGCTTTGGACAGGCAAAATGTTGTAAATCAATTCGGAAATAATGGTCGCCGATGCCCCCGTGTCAACCAGGATGCGTACCTCAACCCCGTCAATAAGTCCCACGACGGCCGACGACCCTGACGATGCGGCCACAACGCGATGGGCCAACGCGGACCACTGCCCGGGCTCGATTCGAGTCCCCACAGTGGTACGCGCCGGCCCGTCGCGATGCAACGTCGTCCCCCCATTTGTTGCGATGCGAGAGTGTGCGACAGGTGTGTGTGTTGGCCAAACATGTGTGGTGTCGCGACTCGCCGGATCATGCTGATGGAGCTTGGGAGGAGGAGGAGGCCCGGTGTCCTGGCGAGGCGTCGTCCCACGCTGTCGGGGAGAGCGGCACCCCGAGGCGACATGGCCCCGGACGCCGCAGTTGAAGCAGCGCGGAAGCGGCGGCGGCGATGACGGACGGTCGAAGCGGCTCGACCCATCCCGGGCCGGCCGCGCTCCCGTCCCCTGCTGCCGACGATGGTTGACGGCGAAGACCTCCTCCGCCGGAAGGGTGGCTGCCGCCACCGCACGCCCAGCCGCTGCCCTGCTGGCCTTCCGCCGCTGCGACAGCAAGTTGGCGTGGAGGAGTCGCGCCGCTTGTAGAGAAGTCATCTCAGAATCCTCCTGTGCCACGACGGCGATGTCCAGGTCGTCTGCTAGCAGGAGGATTTTTTCAGTTACCATGGCGTCGACCCCGTCCTCGTCCATGCGAGGAAAAGCTGTCTTGGCCAATGCCAGGAGGCTTGTTCTGTAAGCCAGCGGCGACTCCTTCGCGCCCCGCTGGCGGTCGTAGAACTGCTGTCTACACTCCGCGGAAGGCCCGTAGACTCCGGCCAGCAGCTGCAGCGCCATCGGCAGCGTAGAGCGCCTTTCCTTCGGCGCCGATGTTAGGGCGGCAAGCGCGTCGCCGTCCAGGAGCGCCGGCAGGGCGCTGAGAGCTTCAGCGTCTGTCCATTTGGCCATTTCTTGGTGGGCGAGGAAGCGTCTTTGGAAGCCGCCCCAGTCGCCCTCTGCGCCCACGAATTCTTTAAGCGGGGGCAGCCTTTGGTGCAGCGCAGCGGTTGCCGTGGAGTCCCGTGGGCTGCTGTCTCCCCGACTCGGCTGTGTCTCGGCGCGAACGGCAGATGGCATCGCCTGTCGCAGCCTTGATGACGCGCCCTCCTCCGTCGTTGATGCGGCAGCCCCAGCGCGGCCGATGTTGGACCCCAGGTTAAGGTTGGCCACGCCCCTAGCGGTCGCCGCGTCGATGGCGGGAAATTCAAAATTTGAATCTTCAGAAATGGCGGGAAGGCGCTCCGGACGCCGGCTCCCCTCGCCCCGCGGTGGACCACCAGCCCCCAGCCGTGTGATGTTCTCCAGCGTAGCGGCAGCGGCGTAGAGCAGTTCAGCCAGCCTCTCGTGAGCCAGTCTCAGGTCGTCTGTCCGCTGCTCCTCTTCATGGCGACGCTCCGGTAAGAACGCGTCCGGCCCCGGCTGCACGTTGTCCTGTTGAGCCATCTCGGGCTCGACAATTTCGGCGGCGTCTTCCGTTTGCTGTTCCCTGGCTCGAGCTGATTGGCGCGTGTCCATGGTCTTAGTTCTTCTGACGCCAGATGTAATACTCTTCAAGACGCGTGGACAACGTGGTAAGGCACACGTATTTATTTGCACAATGTCTTACAGCACTGGAGGGATGTATCGGCCCCCTCACCCGTACAACTGGGAATTCACCCCTAGCTAGCCTTCCTAGCCGAGTCCTCCGCTAACGGGCTAGGGGAGGCTATCTGGCCCGACACTGGTTAGTCGGGCTACGGTACCCGGAATCCCAGAGATCTAACTCTGGTTCCGGGACCACGCCACTGGCTCCAGCCTGCGCTGCCCTTACAAGGGCGGCGTCCCAGGGGGAGTCCAGGGCCTATCTGGCCGGTCTTCTGTCTTCCCTTAACTACCCTAAGACTGAGCCCCGAGCTCTCTGGCTCATCCCTTTTTATACCCCCCTAGAGGATCGAAACCCCCCTCACGCCGTCCAGTGCGGACGTCGTTGCGGGCACCACCCCGTGTGCTCACGGAGTCCCCGCCCACTGTGTTTGTTATCCGTTAGCCCCTATGCAAACAGCCCCACACAAACAGCCCCTCTGTAACAGCCCTACACTTGTATCTTACATCAATAACTTGCCAATAGATATATTTACAGCATGTATGCCTAATCCACTTGCGTTTGTCACCTCTACATGGTTAGTGGACCACATGCTAACATTTTATTATTCAGAAAAGGCTCACCAAGTATTACATCTATTGCAGAAGGTGCCTTCAATTGGATGTTTGGCAAATTTCAAAAGTAATTTGTGGAGGTGTCATTATACACCCCTTCCACGGTTCAGTTACAAGTTTAAATTACATTTCACGAATCAATGTTTGTTCTTGCTTGTTGCATGTATAGTGTATAAAACGCTGTAAATAGAATATCCTGATCCCTTTCACCTGCTTAAATAAGTAAATTTGAACTTTAGTTCTTCCATGCACAAAGATGATGCATGGATCATCAGCATAAGAATGAATTAATATTGTTATATGTGGGAGGAAACCAAAGTACATCAGAGTCCCTTTTATACAGATGGGTCATTAGCCTACTTGCCTTACCCCTGTTTACCGGCCACTTCACAAGCCACACAGTTTTCGGTTTTTGCATGATCCACGAAACCCCAAATGCCTTATTTTGAGCAGGACAACACTCCCCGTTGAGCGACCATTACACGCTCCCCTTATAAGCGTGTGAATGCATGACGTCGGCTGATGGAGGTTTGTGTTTTGTTTGCATCTCGCAGAGACGGAGAGCTCTGGGGGGGAGCTCAGGGACGCGGGCAAGAAGAGGCCCCACAGCGAGAGTGCCGGTGTGCCAAGCAACAGCGACGTTCCGTCCGACGCCAAGAGAGTGTGTGTTAACGGGAGTGAGGAGGAGACGGAGGCCGCCCCTGAAGGTGACACTCACCCCAATTAGACAGTGGTCTGAGTAGCTCTCCCAGACCGCCGGCAGGGTGAGTGCTTTTCATCTTTTTGCTTTACTCATGTTTATTTTTGCTTAATTTGTATTTTTTCCACGCAGTTTCTTAAGAATGGGGAAAAAGGAAAATAAAAATTGGTGACACTTTTTTTTAAATAAAGAAACGACTGGCTTTGCAAAGTGTAACCGAAGCATTAATCAGCGTTTTGACCAAGTAAACATTTAAACTTGGGTGCGATTTATTCCACTGAGCCATTCATATTTACAAAGGTCCTGGCTTCAATGCACCCTGCCTCTGATTTTTTTTGTGCGCCGGAAGATTTGACAGCGAGCAATTGGTGGTCCAGCTGCTGCTTACATGCCAGTGATGACTACCTGTGTGGGAAGCCAACTTTCTGCCTGTGGTCTCTCCTGAAGGTGAAGCACAGAGGGAGCGTATCAGGCCTGCCGTGGCACAAGCTAGACTTGTCTAGAGGGTTTGAAGATTCTAGGTACCTGTCATGCCCCTCCTGTGTCATCCATTTCTAAAAAAACATCACTCAAAGTATTGCCTCCCTTCTGCACTCCCCAATCAGTGTTGAGTGTTGTGTGTGTGTGTTTGCATCAGTGTTTGTGTTTTTATATTTTCTTCTTGCTCTTATTTGTTTTTGTTTCTGTCCAGTAACGTTGCAGTATGTTGCACTTTTCTGTAACCACCAAAATGTTTACAGTGCAGTTTTGTTTGCACACTGCCAGCTACAGAGCATTACACTATCTTGTTGCTTTGTTGGCCCAACATAATTTAAAATTATCATTGAAATCTTAAAATGTTTGAAATAACGATTTGTAATAGCACACATATGTAAAAATGTGCCTACAATGGCTTTGTCTATTTTCTCTTATCAGTCCCCCCTGACTTTAACGATGGCAATAAACCCAGGTAACTCTGCCTAGTTAGGTGAACTGTACCAGCATCACGGCTAGAACCTTTACTGTAATCAGATCACCAAAGGTACGAGTAATCCCACATTGCTTTGTTTTTGGTGTGTATTCGGTTTTCAATAATTTTGCATGTACCGATTGATTATTTTCTATGATTTCATTTATTGAATACTAGGAAATAATTCCAAAAATTATATTAGGTGAAATTATCTTGTCAGCAGCTTGAGTTGATGCGAGGACAAGATCAGACAACAAGATTACACAACATAGCCACATTCATAATTCTGTTTGCATGGTTTTATCATAAAATAAACTACATTATTATGTTTTATTGCAAAGTACAGCAAAAGCTCTGTTATCTGACATCCATGGGGGAATGGAGGGTGCCCGTTAATAACATTTTTGCCAATTATCTGACAGTTATAGTTATGTTTCGATTTAAAGCTATCATGACTGCAGGGATTCATCTTCTTGGTTATTTCGGTAAAGTCACGTAGAAGGGAAATAATAAAATAATAAAAATAAAACATAAAATAATTCTCACGACGAGGTTCATTCAGACGCTGTCTTTCCGACAGACCTGTTCTTCACCTGAGGGGGACGGCTGCTTGCGTTGTGGCCGAAACGTCGTGATAATTATTTTATTATGTTTTATTTTTATTATTTTATTATTTCCCTTCTACGTGACTTTACCGAAAGAACCAAGAAGAGTTATATTTATGGTTCACATTTTCCAAGCACATGCAACTTTTAAAGAAAAAAACTAAGCCTACATTTTAACCATGATATAAGAAAATACTATTTTACAGAGGTACTCGCCAGTCAGTTGTAGAGCATTCTACGTTTTATTTTATTTTTATTAATTTTTATTTCATTTTTTACCTACGTGACTTTCCCGTAAAAACTAAGAGTATTAATCCTTGCAGTCACAAAAGCTTCAAATCTAGAATTTATTCTACGTTGATTGTAGAGAAGCAGTGGGGCCGTTTAGAGTACAGTATACCATGGTACAGTACTGTCTGTACAGACTGCCGCTCCACTAGCGCCACCACTTGGCAGCCACATGAAGCTTCTGTAAACGACAGATCTACGATAAGTGCACGGCAAGATGCCAGTTGGCTGTCAGGATTTTTCCAGATACGTGAAGGAAGATTTGTATTGCCTTCTATGACAGACGCCGGTTAATAGAGCATTCCGATTGGCAAAGTGCTGAATAACATAGCTTTTGCTGTATATCATTACATTCTGTCTGAAAATCCGAATAATTGTTTATCAGAAACTGGAAAATAATTAAGTCACCCAACACTGACTCTTGTCCGGTTGCATCACAACCCGTTTTACTGTTACATTACATGCCACGTTCAGCATGGATGCTGAAGAGCTAAAGGCTCGAGCCACCAGAGAACACTGTCTTCCACTTGAGAGTGAGTCTTGGGGGGTCTACAGTTGAGTCCTGCAATGCTGAAATTAATTCAACATATAATTTTGTTTTTATACACCTGATTCTGATTGTTTCTGGCAGTTAATGGACTGACCACTGAGGTATCTCACAACAAGGGTTTTTGGTGGGTCAGCTAT